TTTTTTTTTCAGTTTTTGTCTATTAATCATAGTAAGGATCTGAAAGGTTTTTGGGGGAACTATCATTTTCTAAAAATTTTGTACTCTATGTTTTCACCTTGTGAACCATTGGAATCTCATTGACACACTATATCTATCTTGCTATGTTTCTTTGTTTATCTACAGCCATCCTTCCTGTATCACAATTTAATTACACAGTTGGTTTTCAGGACCGATGTCCTCCGAACCGGAACCTCCTGCGACAACCACAGATAGTATGGGAACTTCAACCAATACCATGACTTCTGTTCAGGAAAATGAACAAAGGCAGTATGATCAGAGGCAGTTTGATGATAATAGACAGGAGATGTGGAGCGATTTGCATGAAAATGTAGGTGCTGCTTGATTTACTTTCATGTTCATTTGTTTGATATTACATCTTTGTCAGTATTCTTTTACTGTATGCGAGAAAAATATTTATCTCATCCCATAATTGCCTAAATCCAGTTATTTCATATTCAAACTCTTTGAAATGAGTATTGCGGCTTCAAGAAATAATCGCAGTACATTCTGTACTTCATTGCTTTCAATAATCCATGCAATCTTTTTTTCCAGAGCTCTGCGAATAGTCCATCGACATCTACTCTCTCTTACAAGGATGATCATAAATTCAAAACTCCTGCGGTTCCACCTCGCCGCTTGAAAGAACGGCCACATGAAATGGTTGGTTCACGAAAGCCGCGGTCAGCGCCTCCAACAGCGGTACATCATTTAGTCTTCTTCCAAATTTTTTTCTAGAGAATTTATATCGAAGTTTTGCTTGAAAGTCTCTTATTGTTTATTTGCTATACTACGGATTCTAGCTTGTTGGCCGCTTACCCGATCCTCTAGGAGAAAGCCGACGTGCTGATCCTTCTACTTTGGATTTGGAATGTAGGATTATAAAATCAATTTATGCAGAGGAATTTTTAAAATCTTCCTCTGCATATATTAATACATCTAATACTTTTGCAGCTTTGTACAAGGAGGCGGATGCAGAAGTGACGAGGGTGAACTTCAGTGGCGATCTACTTCTTTTACCGAGTATATTAGTGCATAGCGTGGGTGTTTCTGCTTTTGGCCTGCGCTATTGTAACGTTTTCGGAATCAAATGTTAAGTTGAGGAATTTTTCAGGATTATGTCTTTCGCCAAGTTGTTTGCGCTGAAACATATTATAGCTTATCAGAGGAGGCAAGAAATCACTTAAGGGTCAGTATCTGTTTTTGGGTTACAACATTCTTCATTTTTTGTGGGTTTTTCTGGCGTGTCATATTTGATATTTTATTCTTTTCCAGCAATTCTTGCCACCAATTAAAACTGTTGCTGAGGAGCAGCATGCATTGTCGTGTGCTTTTACGAAGCGCATGGACTTGGTCCATGGTAATCCAATCGAGCGGGTCCAGTCCAAGTTGAAAAGTGAGATTTACTAGGAACATGATAATTGCCGGCTATTATTTCAAAAACTTTTAGATGGCTGGTTTAATCCTGACCGACCGTCGCAGCAGAATCAGATTCGAGATAATAATAAAGTTCTTTATGATCATTATATCAGATTCTATCATATGAATCTTCTCAATAAGCTTGTTAAGTCCCGTCATGTAAGTTTTGAATTTTTGCAGCCTTCTTCATTTTTTGCATGCACCTTTTTTCCATCAAGATCGCTACCTTACAACTGTTACTTTCATTCCACCAGCGTGGTAGCTATAATCTCACAGCATAAAACTGTGGCCATCGACTTTCGCACAAATAATTTTTCTCAAATTATAAGCATAAGTTATAATTTATACAGTTTAGTTGAGAATCTGGCAGATTTATGAAATATGCAGATTACTTATTCTTATTTTTGTAGTGAATTTTCTGATCTTGTCTCTTGGAATTGAGTGTAAGCAATCCTGACTGTACGTATGTAAGTCGTGCTCATCCTAGAAGCACTTTAGGCTGTTTTGCAACATCTCATGTCAACCAGCGCTTTGTGTTCGCCAACAAGGCAACCATTAGATCCTGAAACAATAAAACGACGGAACGATATGGAGCGAATCCGATTACGCGCGGCCAAGCGAAGCAAAGCGTAAGTGTGCAGAAATCACTGTTCTCAAAAGGGAGTTACTTTCTTAGATTCGACGTTTTTTCTAGCATGATAGCCGACTGTCGTATGAAAGTTGGAGAAGCGGGTGTCTCGAGCGATGAAGAAGGTTCATTCACTCGTCTAGGTTTTGAGATTTAATACTATATTTCATGTTCCCTTCTTCGATAAGTTATTTTTAAATCCTAATTTGCTTAAGATTCAGACGATGATCTCTCACTGCCAATCAGCAAAGGTGTAACATTGCATACAGCGCGGTCTACTTTATTCACTCCGAACATGAAAGGTTGTTCCTGCTACTTCGCTGTTCTCCTTTTTTCCCTTGGGTTAGAGTTATGCGATCATTTCAGATTTGGATCTGCATCAACCTACTCAAATGGATGACGTAAAAACAATGCTCAAAAAATATAAGAAGTTACGACGAGAGGAACCTGTTCGTAACTATCTTTTATTATAAATCTTTCAAATAGTGGGATATCATTATTTGAGTATTTAAGCATGCTCCGAGTCTTGATATAACCGGAATTGACTTGGATGACGTCTATGAACGAGCTGGAGTTCTGGCACAGTCGGAGAAAATCAAACAAACAATGGAGGCTTTAGAGAAAAACCTCAAAAAGTAATGCTTGAAGTTATACTCCGGGTATATTACAGGTTGTAGATATCCTTTGTTGTTTTCGTTAACCATTTTATGTTCATATGCCTCTACTTTTTTACAATTGATTTTTATGATTTTCTACTAGCCGCTTGAGTCAATGTGCAAAATTTTTTTTTGTCTTTTTTCACTTTCAAATAAATACTTTAAATTTTCTTCCCAGCTGCAGTTCAATAGACCACAGTTTTTCTTGTCGCATTTTTGTTGTTGACTTTTCGCCGGCATTGTCGACAAAGGGAACTCTCTGGCCAAAGAAGCTCTGATAAATAATTTACCGGCCTTACGTGAGAAACCAGAACAGTTATGGTCAACCTTGAAGCGTAACGTGCATTGGGTAGCAAGGAGTTTACTGGGTCCCACGAAGCCAGGAAAAAGAATTTGACATAGGAACTTGGTAGAGGAACAATGAGGTTCAAACGGTGATTAAGAAAAAGAGTCAGGCATACAAGCAATGGCATAAGTCGAAATCGGAAAGCGATCGACAGTTGTACCTAGAAATGAAACAAGCTGCAAAAACATTTGTCAAGAAAGCGAAGAAAGCATACGTAGAAGAGCTGTATAAAAAATTGGAATCTCATGATAGAGAGCGCTAAATATACCGAATAGCGCGAGGGAGGGCAGAGTCA